TGTTCTTGGTACTTCAAGTCTGGTTTCCTGCAAAATACTAAAACTACATAAAAAATGACTTATAATACTTTAAAAGATGAGCTAAAGTCTATGTAATTAGTATTAAAAATGCCGCATTTCTACGGCACAACATTTTCCCAATGTACCTCAGGAGCTATACAAAGAATGGATTCATGACGAGGCCCTGTTAGATGTGTTTCGGGATTTGCATGCACGGGTTTCATTCCTGAGACGGCTCTTGAAGACGCTCGGGTTAAGGCTCATGAAGATAGTGTCGCTTGTGGATACGATCCCGCTACGCCTCAGGCTGATGAGGATGATGGGGAGGAGTAAGTGGACCGACTTGAGGAGGACGCCTAGTAAGACACCGCTAATCTTCAGGGCAAAGGTGGTGATGGCGATGGGGGCCAAGATGGAGAGATCATAGAGGCCCGTGATGGCGAGGGCCAGTAGCCTTTTTCTTAGGCTTCTTTTGTATTTTGTCTTCCTCTTTAGGAACCCCTGTAATGAACTCTGCAAATTTTTGTCTATGGGAACTTAAGTTGTTTTTTGTACCTTCTTCCATACTTGTTACTTATTTTTATGCTCATGTACTTTTTCTTAGTCATTTGCTTATTTACGACTTCTGCCCTTTATGTTATCGTTGTCATCTACTTTGTCGTAACCCTGTTGACGGTTATTTGTGGGTCGTATCTGCCTTTCGTTTATATAAGTCGGGTGTGCCTCTTTATATAGATTAGGCTGATAGGTGTTGTTTGAACTTGGCTGATTTTGGTCCTTTGCCAAGTCATGGCCGAGGGCCGACAAGTGTTATTCGAGCGTGGTTGAACATAACCTTTTATTAAATCGTGGCCGAGGGCCGATAGGTGTTGTTCGAGCATGGTCGAACTCAGCCTTTTATTAAATCGAGACTGAGGGCCGATAGGTGTTGTTCGAGCGTGGTCGAAATTAACCTTTTATTAAATATAGGCCGAGGACTGATAGGTGTTGTTCGAGCGTGGTCGAACTCAACCTTTTATTAAATCAAGGCCGAGGGATGATAGGTATTTTTTGAGCATGGTCGAACTTAAACTTTTATTAAATCGAGGCCGAGGGCCGATATGTGTTGTTAGAGCGTGGTCGAACTTAACCTTTTATTAAATCGGGGCCGAGGGCCGATAGGTATTGTTCGATCATGGTAGAACTTAACCTTTTATTAAATTGAGGTTAAAGGCCGATAGGTGTTGTTAGAGCATGGTCAAACTTAACCTTTTATTAAATCGGGTCGAGGGGCGATAGGTGTTGTTCGAGCGTGGTCAAACTTAACCTTTTATTAAATCGGGTCGAGGGGCGATAGGTGTTGTTCGAGCATGGTCGAACTTAACATTAACACAAAAAAGGTTTCCTGATAAACATAGATTTCTTATTATTTTGATGTTGTTGCTTCGGTTACATACTTGGGGAGAGTTATAGATTTTGGGTGTTGGCTGGCGTTCAAGTCCCAGTCTACCTAGTCCCTTCATTGTTTGACTTGGAGAGTATCGATTAGTTTGGAGAGTATCGAGGAGTCGAACAATGAGAAGAGTAAAAACAGTCCCTCCCTTGTGTACTTCGACTTGAAATGTTACCTTCGTTGCCTCGTTATAAACCTCCTTGAGAAAACCCAAATGGGACAAAACTCAAGTGAGGGAAAAAGAGTACAACTTGGGGGACACTTTTTCTCTCAGAAGTTGATGTATTTGAGGTGCATGATATTCCAATTTTTTGGTAATTTCTTTCCTTCCATTATCTCTAATTGGCATAAACCCATGTTTGCTTTGGCTATGATTTTGTACGGACCGTCCCAGTTTATTTTCAGCTTGCCTTCCCGTAGATCTTTGCTCGCTTGAGTTTTGGCTTTTAGCACGTAGTCCCCTACTTTACGCAGCCGAACTTTTTCTTTCTTGTTGTAATAGAGTTATGCTTGTTGTCTTTGGGCGACTAATCTTATGTAAGCCATATCTCTTCATTCATCGATTTCGTCGAGTTCTTACCTTCTACTTTCATCATTACTCGTACCGCTTTCATGAGATTACCTTAGGCTAGGTTCTTCTACTTCGACCGGTATTACTGCCTCAGTCACATAGACCAAAGAGTATGGCATCTCTCCTGTGCTCATCTTCGGAGTTGTTCGGTATACCCATAATACTTCCGGCAGAATTTTCGGCCACAGTCCCTTGGCGTCTTCGAGTCTTTTCCTCATGATGTTTAGTATGGACTTGTTGAAGGACTCTGCTTGTCCGTTACCCGCTGAGTGATATGGTTTGATTGTATCCTCTTGATATGCCATTTCTCGGAGAATTTAGTGATTTTCTTCCCCGTGAACCGGGGTCCGTTGTCACAGCTGATCTCCTTTGGTAGGCCGAATTGGCAGATAATGTTCCTCTATATAAAGGTGATTACTTCTTGCTCTCATATTTGAGCGAACGCTCCTGCTTCAACCCACCTTAGAGAAATAGTTAGTTAAAACCAAAAGAAATCGCACATTACCTCGCCCTTATGGGAGGGGCCCCATAATGTCCATTCCCCATTTGATGAACGACCATGGGAGGAGACCGAGTGGAGGCGCTCGCATGCTTGGTGAATCATTTGGGCGTACTTTTGGAATTGTTCGCATTTTCTCACGAAGTTTGAGGCGTCCTTTTTTAGGGTAGGCCAATAGTATCCTGCACGTATGAGGCATCTGACGAGCGCTCGATTGCCGGAGTGAGCATCGCAATGGCCTTCGTGGACTTCTTCGAGGACGTGCTGGTCTGGTTCGGGACCAAACATTTTGCTAGAGGGTCGTCGTAAGTTCTCTTGTATAGGTCACTGTGGAGGAGACTGTATCTGTCTGCTTGCATTCTTAGCTTCTTGGCTTCTTTTTTGTTGTCTGCGAGTGTGCCGTCCTGAAAGTAGGTGATAATACAATTGCGCCAATCCCAAGTTAAGTTTATAGTTCTTACCTTGATTTGGTCCAGTGAAGAATTTAGGAGGTAGACTACACTTTTATCCTGACCGTGATGCTTTTGATAGCTGCAGCTAGTTTGGCGAGGCTATTCGCTTCGGCGTTCTACGCACGTAGGATCTGGTCGAGCTGGCATTCTTCAAACTCAGGTATTAGCTTGCAGATCTCGGTCTGATTTTTTTGCAACCTTTGTTCCTTGATTTGGAAAGTCCCTGTGACTTGGTTGACTACGAGCTGGGAATCACAATGGAGCTTCAACCGTTTCGCCCAAACTTAAGTGCTAGCCTCAACCCTGCAATTACGGCCTCATACTCGACCTCGTTGTTTGTCATATCTGGGCACCTTATGGACTGGCGAATTACTTTGCCTGTAGGGACCTTGAGTACGAGTCCTAGTCTGGATCCTGATGCGTTGGATGCGCCATCGGTGTACAGGACCCAGAGGTCCCATGTTTGGAGGGAAGCTTTGATGGCTTCCTTTTAGACTTCAGGCATTATCTTTGCACTGAAGTCTGCGACAAAGTCGGCGAGCACCTACAACTTTATCATTATTCGCGGCTGGTATGTGATATCGTGCTCGCTTAACTCAATGGCCCACTTGGCCAGCCTCCTCAATAGCTCGGGTTTATGCAAGATGCTCCTCAGGGGAAAGGTTAAGTAACAATCGATATAGGATGGCACTGGAAATAGGGTTTAAGCTTTCGTGAAGCTACGACCAATGCCAGAGCCAATTTTTCGAGGTGTAGGTACATTGTCTCGGTGTCGATGAGTGTTTTTCTAATGTAATAGAAGAGAGATTGCGTACCTTTGTTTTTGTGTATCAGGAATGCACTTACCGCTACTTCTGAGATGGATAGGTAGAGGAGGAGGTATTCTCTAGGTTCGAGTTTTCAGAGTAGGTGTGGTGACGATAGGTATGTCTTCAGTTCTCGCAGAGCTTGGACGCACTTAGGAGTCCATTCGAGACCGTTTTCCTTTTTGAGAATGCCAAAAAATCTATGACATCTATTAGATGACCGCGGGATGAATCTTGATAGGGCGGCGTTTCGACCAGTCAACCTTTGGACTTGCTTCTTGATATTCAAGAGTTCTGGTATCACCTCGATAGCTTTGATTTGTTCTGGGTTGACCTCGATCCCTCACTGTGACACCAAAAACCCCAGGAATTTTCCAGAGGCTATGCCAAATGTGCATTTTTCTGGATTTAGCTTCATTCTATACCGCCTTAGTATGCCTCATTCAAATGATCGATATGATCCTCTGCTTTACGAACTTGACTAGCATGTCATGTATATATACTTCCATGGTATTGTCGAGCTTCTTTGAACATCTTTGTGACCAATCTTTGATATGTGGCTCATGCGTTCTTCAGCCCAAATGGCATGACCCTATAGTAGTATGTTCCTTGGTGGGTGATGAACGCAGTTTTATCTTTGTCCTCTTCTTCCATAAATATTTGGTTATATCATGAGCACGCGTCCAAGAAACTCAGCAGCTTATGTCCGGCCATTGCGTCGATTAGTTGGTCGATGTGTGACAGCTGGAATGAGTCCTTTGGGCATGCTTTGTTTAAGTTTGTGAAATCCACGCACATCTGCCATTTCCCATTTTCCTTTTGACCATTACTACATTGGCGATCCATTTAGGGAACTTTGATTCCCCGATGGAACCATTTTCTAGTAGTTTTCCACCTCCTTGCGCACAACATCGTTGATGGCTGGATTAAATTTACATCTGACCTGCCTTACTAGGTGGTAGAATGGGTCGACTTTTAATTTGTGTGTGGCGATCTCCATGGGGATGCCCGACATATCTGCATGGCTGAAGGTAAACAAATCTGCATTAGTTATTAAAATTCGATGGAATTTTCTTAGCTCTTGGAGTTTGCAGCCGATATAGGCCTTTTTGCTCTAGTCATTGGACTCTAATTGGACGGGGTCGAGGTCTTCTATGGTCGAGTCCGCAACCTCGACCATTTCGGGATCCATGATGACGTCCCTGCTCTCATTTTGTGTCGACCATGACCCTGTTAATTTCTATGCCTCTTTTTCTTTGTCTTTTTTTCGTTGGGTTATCGTGCTGATTAAGGCAATGCGGTAGCACTCCCTGGGCGTACACTGTTCTCCATGTATGCTGAATATTCCCCATGGTGTTGGGAATTTAATTACTTGGTATAGGCTAGAGGGGACGGCTCTCATGGGATGTATCCACAGTCGTCCCACTATGGCATTGTACGCGGTGGAGTGGTCCATGATGTGGAATGTCATCTCTAGAGTCACGCCTCCGGCCAAGACGGGGAGTGTAATTTCTCCTGATATCCGCTCAACTGCATTATTAAAACCGATTAGCGTGATGCAGCGTGGCACTATATTGTCCTCAAGTGTCATTTGGGCGAGGACTCGGGGATGGATAATGCATACTCCACTTCCATCGTCCCACATGGTACGTTTGACATCAGTATCTAAAATGCGTAAAGTAATGACGATGGAATCGTTATGAGGGAAAGTCAAACCGTCGGCATCTAACTCATCGAAGGTGATACTTTCTTCGAGCATGTTGTACCGTTCGAGGGTGATAGATCGCTTTAGCTTGTGAGTGGTGGTGAAGTTCACGCCGTTGATGGAGACGTCATCCCCACCCCTGATGATCATGTTGATAGTACAAGCTGGTGATCGTGGCTTTGGCGGACCTTGGTGTTCACATCCTCTACCGAAGTTATATCTCCCTTTGTCACTTAGCAGCTCTCTGAGGTGTCCCTGCCGCAACATGTTTACGATTTCTTGCTGGAGAGAGATGAAATCTTCTGTTTTGTGCCCACGTTCCTGGTGGAACTCACAGGGCATCAGATTTTCTGGTGCTCAGGTCAGACCTCATCTTTGACGGCCACTTTACCTTTGTTCCAAGCTTCTCTAGAGCATAGATTGTTTCTGTAGGTGACACACAAAAATTCTGAGCAGATAGTAACGGGGAATACCTCTTTCATTTTGGTGAGTCCTAGTTCTCGGTCTAGATGGGCCTTCTTCATAGTGGAGGGAAGGTGTGGCGGGCACCCTGATGTATGGATGGTGTCGTTCCATGTTGGGTCGCGAGATCGGGTGGTCCGTCCTGACATTGTCTCTCCATTCTTACCTGGACTCGGCTTGCACCGAGATGAGTCGATAGGTAGGTCTGTTGAGATCGTCCTCATCTTCTCGAACTTCAGCACAATAATCATTATGGATCTCATCCCAAAGTGTTGGGGGATATTTCATCAATCGGCTCAACAGTTTTCTAGATGCTCTTGAACCATCCCTACTCAACCCATTTTGGAAAGATGCGAGCGCCATCCCCTCAGACAAGTTCGGCAGAGTCATCCTTACCCTGTTGAACCGGGCGAGGAAGTCCCTTTGTCCCTCTCCCAAGGACTTCTTGACAACGAATATGTTGTTTGCTCTTGCTTAGGCCTTCTTGGCTCCAGCATGTGCGGTTACAAACTTGTCGACCCTTTCCTCAAAAGTTTCAATTGAGCAAGCTGGTAGCTGTGAGTACCATGTTAATACCCCTCATGTGAGGGTTTCACCGAATTTCTTCAGCAAAACATATGACACTTATTCCTTGGTGAGGTCGTTTCCATTCACGTTGTGACGTAATGGGTCACATGATCTTCAGGGTCGGTCGTTCCGTTGTATATCCTAAGGTAAGGCGGCATTTTGAAAGTCTTAAGTATGGAATGCGGGGCTGCTTTGTCGTTGTACGACTGTTCTACGAACCTGCTTGTGTCCCTTTTCGGCAACAGCTTTGGGGCGCCTTGTATCTTGTTGACTCGTTCTTGGTGTTCTTTTATTTGATCTCTGAATGCTTTCTTTTCATTCTCCATTTCTTCCATCCTCTTTAGAACAGTGGCGAGAGCGTTGTCACCAGCACTATTAGTAATATTGTTAGTTATACCTCTTGTCGGAGGGTTTGGTTGGTTGCACTGGTCGTTTGTTTGTTGTATCGTGCATGCTCTTGCGGTTTCTGTAGTCGTTCCAGAAGCGGGCCTGTTGAGCACACTCACCAGCATATCGGTTAGCCATGCTTCGAGGAGCTTCGAGGAGCTGGTGGCGTCCCTTCTTCTGTGGACATGGAAGCTCCTTTTCCGTTGGCTTTTGTTATGCTACAATGGGGAGAAGGTGACCTTTCGCGCCTAGGGGAGGCAGTGGGTGTCACATCTTCGCCTAGGGTTTTACAGCTCTTGTTGATAGCATTCATGAGGTTGCTAGGGAGATCACCCATTACTTTCGTCCTCTCTCCTTGGTTACCTGCCATGTAGGTTTTTGTATGTGCAAAGAAAGATCGTGGGGTTTGTGAGGTTAGCGACTCATGTTAGATGCATATCGAAAGCAAACTAAATAATTGACCAGGAAACTAAAAATTTGACCAAGAATCCCCACAAACGGCACCAAATTGTTTGACTAATAATATAATTCCTGGTTTAACTAATTAGATTTATGCAAACAAGGGTTAATCTTGGTTAACAATAATATCCTAAAGATGAAACTTTTCGTATTATGATAAATAACGCGTAAATCTATTTCGAAGGTTATATTGGTGCGCAATAATGACGATATTTAAGGACCCAAAAAGAAGAAATATAACATTAAATAGTGATGAATAATAATAAATGGCATTTATGTAAATAAAACATGTGATTTACCCGAGAAAGGATGAGATCAGTGAATATTCTTTCTGACAATGATAAATAATGGATAAGTCTTTGAATATTCGAGTTATTCTAGGATCCAATGGAAAGATGCGGTCAAGAATCTTAGTGGAAAGGTGATTTTTGTACGCTTGTAAATAGACAAGATTCTCAATATAAAGTCAAAGTGTGTTTTACAAGTGAATATCTCATGTCCCCTATCATTCTATCTTTTTCTATTTATAGGAAACATGTTCCTAGAAACCCTAACAGTACAAGTGCAGAGAATATCCACTAGAATATTCTCTTTAATGTTCTATCTTGAAACTAGCCATTATAACTCTGTCTAAGGAGCTCGACCTCGACCTCAAACTACGGTGACTTTGCGGCCTTGATCTTTGTTGACTCTTCGACCACATCTTTCGTCGCCTCCATGACACTTTGCCTAGAGGCTGATCTTTGTGAGGACCTCACTGATAACACGTGGCAGTCGATGATGACTATAATTGTGCCGACGTGGCTTGTCCATATCAAAGATATTTTTTGGCTCATACAATATCATCATGCCTATAGAGAGGAAAAAGGTATATCACTTTTCTTTTGTCCTTGTGACTTTGACATCTAAAATGTACTACATGATTCAGTTTCTATTTAGATGAAATAGCCCTTGCCCAAAAACCTGAGAAAACTACAGGAATAAATCAAGAGACATAAGATATTATCACTACCAACAGAAGCCCCGCAAAAATAATTGTAGCAAATTGTACATATTTGTCTATCATTTCATCCATATTTAGAGTATTAGAGCTAAAAAATGACCTAGAGCATAGTAATAAGGAAACTGAAGATTGATTGTGATATTCTCACTCATAATAATATTTGTTTTAATATTCTCAGACAAAAGAATGTTCGTTTTGATTTACTTTGTATATTTTTCTTTTGTATTGGTCTATTTTACATGGGATCTCATTATCTTTTCTGTGTATAAAAAGAAGAATGCTATCAATAAAATACTCAATCTCTTTTGCATCAGCTCTCATTTTTACGGTATCAGAGTATTACCCACTCAAACAAGTAAACTGATCACTTCTCTCTATTTTTTTATTTTAACAATAGCAGACAGCTCTTCATCTAACTCTCCATCTGACTCCTCTGCAACTAAATCCAACCAACACAACCCATTTGTTTTACAAGCACAGTCACATACATTCACATACAACTTATCTTGATATACCCAATGCTAGAACACAAGTCATGAACTTTAATTCGGAATCACAACTGCCAATAAAGCTCACAGGCAGTAACAGCTTCGCAACTTGAAAAGTTTAATTCTTCAAACTAATGTGTGGATTTGACCTTGATTTTTACCTTGATGATTTTGCTGTTTTCTCTCCAAAATCATTAAACAAGGCGATATTGATGTTATTAATCCAGAACATAAAGTATGGTTCCAACAGGATAATTTGATATGCAATGCGTTGATGGCGTCGGTTGACCCAACAATTGCTCCTTCTGTTGCTACGACATCTACTGCTAAAGAGGCTTGGGACCATTTGCACACCACATTTGCAAATAAGTCTCAAACTAGAATCTACAGTCTTCAGAATCTTCTTGCTAAGGTTTCGAAAGATAACAAATATGTCGTAGAATATCTTTGAGAAATTAGATCCCTCGCTGACGAACTTGCCATTGCTAGATGAATTGTTTCTCATGAAGCGTTAGTAATCAATATTTTGAATGGCTGTGGACCAGAATACAGTCAATTCAGTGCTGCTATTTGAACACATGATACTCCCATCTCTTAGGAAGAACTATTTGAGAAACTTTTAGATCATGAAATCTTCTTATAACATGAAGAACAAAAGAAGAAGCAGACCAACTCCATTACTGCTCAAATAGAACAACGAAACATTAGTTCAAACAATACCAAAAGCAATCGGTGTTGGAATGGACCACAACCATGGAACAACCCACAATCTGCAAACTTACAGCCCAACAAAAATATGAGCAACAATGGATATTTTCAGCAATGGCGTCCCTCATCCCCATTCTATAATAAGTCACCTATTCAATGTCAACTATGTGGACGATTTGGTCATACAGCCTTTGTTTGTTGCTCAATGTCTATTAACCACTTTGAAGCGAAAGCTTTATTTGCTTCCAGATCAAACTCAAGCCAAGCACCATGGATTCTATACACAAGAGCGTCTCACCATATCACTGACAACCCTCAAAACTTGGCTACTGCACAGGATTATACTAGACCGGCAGAGATTTCAATGGGTGATGGTAATGCAATTTCAATTACTCACACATGAACTTCCTCTCTTTTTACTACTTCTCGATCTTATTCTCTGCAAAATGTCTTATGTGCTCCTTCTATTAAAAGGAATCTTATTTCAGTTTCTAAATTTTGTTCTCAAAATAAGACCTCTATTGAATTTTTTCCGTCGTATGTTGTTGTCAAGGCACTGAATACAGGGGTATTATTGGTTCGCGGCCAGAATAGGAAGGATCTTTATGAGTGGCCGATTTCAGATTTCTCACGCACATCATCAACCTTTGCATACTCGGCCACCACCACAAGACCTTATCTCTCTTTGTGGCATTGTAGATTAGGACATCCCAATCTTCCTCTTTTGAATTACATATTACATAGTCATCATCTTCCTTTTTCTGATTCAGAAAAATTTACGTTTTGTAATTCTTGTTATTGCAATAAAAGCCATGAATCTCTTTTTTCTAACAAATTCTTTAAGCAGTACTAAACCATTTGATCTTTTATACTCTGATGTATGGGGCCCTTCTCCCGTTCGATTCGTCCATCAAAATGCTTATTATGTCATTTTTGTCGATCATTTTTCTAAATATACATGGTTATACACCATAAAACACAAAAGTGATGTAGCAAAGATTTTTACTGATTTCAAGCCTTTAGTAGAAAATTATTTTAATACCAAAATTCTGACTGTTTACTCTGATGGTAGTGGAGAATACATTGGTTTAAAATCTTCTCCAGCTTTTAAAGGAATACAACAATTATTATCGCCACTTTACACCCCTCAACGTGTTGCCTTAGCTGAACGGAAACACCATCATATATTAAAAATTGCTAGAACTTTATTACATCAAGCTTCCCTGCCCCAAAATTTATGGTCTTTTGCATGTCATGCAGTCGTATACCTCATAAATCGTTTTCTCTTACCAACTACTAACGCAAAATTCTCATATCAAATACTTTTTGGGAAAGATCCTAACTTTGATTTACTTCGCCCTTTTGGATGTCTTTGCTATCCTTGGCTTAAACCATATGCCAAAAATAAATTAGAGCCAAAATCAGTACCATGTATTTATTTGGGATTTTCTAATCTCTATATAGTCATCAATGTTAAGATCTTATTTCGTCGAAAGTCTATATATCTCGTGATGTACGATTTATTGAAGAAGTTTTTCCATTCAAAATAATTTTCGCTCATCTCAAATCTTCCAATTTAAATTTGCAATCCTCTCCTGTTTTGTGGCACGAAGTATGTTCCACTTATATCTCAAACAAATCTTCCCTATCTTATATCTTTAGTGATTCTCCTTTTATTTAATTACTTCAAAACTCCAGTAACAAATCTACATTGAACACTACAATAGGTCTTCCTACGCCGCCATCAATGCACCCTTACAGTCGCCAAGTACATTTTC